GTGAATGGTTCGGGTGTAGTTCGATTGAACTTTTCAGGCGCGCTGCTAACAAAGTCGCAGTGGCCATGATGATTTCCAATCTCCGCTAGGAGTGGCACGAGAAGAAGAAGAAGGCATCAAAGCCAAGTATTGCATCATTATGTGTTTTAACAATATAAAATTTCAATTTATCTATATTTTCTTTATTTTTGCATTGCCTGACTTTTAAATATACACTTCCTATTGAATTTATTATTTTTCCATTATAATCAGTAATTTTATTGGTGCTACTAGAAAGTTCAGAAGTTTGAATATTTAATTTTTTAAAATAAGTGTATGGCAAAACACAACAGTCTGCTCCTGAATCTAATCTAAAGGATACAATTATTTTATTATTTATAAAACAGTCTTCATACCACTTTTCTGAAGACTTTTCATTTATATTATTTAGAAAAATTTTATCTGGCGAAAAATCATAATCTGAATCAGTATCACTTTGATGGACATTTACATTATGGATTCTATTTTTATAATCATTAGCATTACAAACTTTTGCAAAATGGTTAAATTTATTACAAATTGTACACCGTAATCCATAAGCAGGACACTTGTTTAACTGATGCTTAGAACCACACTTATAACAGTTTTTTATAAAATTATTACTTATCTTTTGATTTCCTGACATCTGAAGATGATTTCGGTAATACTGACCACAATCAGATGTACATTGAGGAACAGGTTTAAGCTGCTGGCTTCTATTTGATTGATGTTTTTTCTGCTTTTGTATCTCTAGAACTTCTAACGATTGGCTACTATTGGCTCCGCTAATAACACTCAACTGTCTTGCTGCCACCTCAGCAGCTCTGCATATTTCTAATCCACGGCTCAGTGTTAAACCTTGTTCTCGTAACAATCTATCCTTTAATGAAACATCTGAGATTCCAAGGATTAGACGATCACGTATTAAACTGTCAGTTAGAGTGTCGAATTCACAGGTACTTGCAAGCTGTCTCAGTTCTGTTACATATGAGTCGTATGTCTCTAGCCCTATCTTGTCTCGAGTGAAAAATAAGTATCGGTCATATGTGACATTTTTGGAAGGTGTAAAGTACTCTTTAAACTTTGTTAGAATAACTTTACAAGAAGTTTTACTTTCATCTGAAGACCACTCGAAATTGTTATAAATACGAAGAGCCCGGTCTCCAATTCGATTCAACAGCACGCTGCCTTGCAAACTGTCGTTCTCCTCATTAAGCTTGCTGGCTTCCAAAAATATTTTAAATTTTTGTTCGAAAAAGCTCCAATTATCTGCCATATTACCATCAAAACAAAGTTCTGTTACTGGAACAACGTGCTCGTTCATTTTGGAGGTTATGTGAAATTACAATTACATAACAATTTTCAAAATATTACTTATCAATTCTCCTTAGGGTGCGAAGATATCGAAATATGACTGCGCCATATAATATTTGTGTGCTTACTTACTTTATTTTGTATTAATTAATTAATTATTATAAATGAAATAAAACAAGACATCGTTTTAAGTTGACGGTTGACACACCTGTCCCACAGCATACTTTATTATTCAATAGGCAATTTCTAGCAAATGCCAACATCCAAATGACATCATCATGACATTCATTATATGCACCTTGAAATGTTTTACCATTATCAGAATAAATGTGGTTGGGTATTCCCCGACGTGAAACAAATCTTCGCAGACATGCTATAAAACATTCTGTTGTCATATCTGAAATGAGCTCAAGGTGAATAGCTTTAGTTACAAAGCATACAAACACACAAATGTAACCTTTTGTTGTTTTTGCACCTCTTCCCTTTCTGTCTTTTATGTTATATGGACCTGCATAATCTATTCCAGTTAAGGATGGGTTGCGAAAGCAGTAGCAGTTATTTTTCAACTGTTATTTCACAGAAGCTGCTTCACACTGTTACACCATTTTCAGAATAACTGCTTCATAACTTCATACTCTCCACGGATGCTCAGGCGAAACCGCGGTTTTGTGGCTCGTCGCCTCGTCGGTAAATCTCGCCAAACACACCCAAAATAACAGTTTAGATTTTTAAACTGCTGCTCTGCTGCAGATAATGCTTAATGCTACATTGTTATTTCTCTATGATGCTACTCTATCTGAGAACAACTTTGATATTCTTGTGAAGTGGCCTGCGTCTGTCATTGTTGATGTTAGATGTAAAGGTTAAAAAAAAATGCCAGAACTAAAAGGTGATGAAATATTATTGTAAATGATTTATCAAACAAAAAAAACAATTAGCTTTTTATATTTATTTGAGATATATATATATATATATATATATATAATATATATATAAATGTATATATATATATATATATATATATATTATATATATATATATAAATAATATATATATATAATATAATTATATATATATATTATTAATTATTTATTATATTAAGATACATATTAGGGAATAACAAAAAATAAACAATTGTCCAAAAACTAATGTATAATTTACAAAAACA